CGGTAAAAGAAGTGTATTTTGGAACTTGACAAGTAGAGAATTTGGAGTAACCAGGAAATAAGAATAAACAACAAACCAGTCTTTTATAAAAGGTACTTTAATTATGGAATTCAGACGGTGGGAAATGACTTGCGTTTCGATCTTAACAACATCGATTCTTATAAACTAATCGCAAAACACCTACAGAAGACGAACTTTCTGGAATAGACCGGTCTTCGTCACTCGGGACCGTTCGATTTAAGGAATGCTTATCATAATCCAGATCATACAGCCCTAAATCCATCTTTCAAAATTGACTGCGGCCTTTTTGATGTAACTGAAAAGAAATCAAAAAACTATTACTCTCTTTTTGTCCGTAAAAAGGCTTGCTTTCCAAATAACGCGAGAAAATTAAAGTGTGAATTGAATTTAACTGACGAGGCACTGAAAAAAGCTTTTTCTCTTCCCCATTCAGCTGCTTTTGAGCCATATGTCAAGGCCTTTCAGTTCAAAATATTGAACTCTATACTCTACACGAATTCAAAATTACACAAAATCGGGTACGTTGCAGATTATCTATGTTCTTTCTGCAAACGTGAATCAGAAACAATGCAGCATTTCTTTTATGATTGCTCTTATTTAACTTTTTTTCTGGAAAGATTTCGAATTATATTACTTATCTTTGACAAAACAGCAGATACATCGTAATTTGAAGGATATATTTATCGGTCTTCTAATACCAGAACTTCCCTTGCTTAATTATCTGTTATTTATAGGAAAAATTTATTTATGGGCGTGTAGAAGAAATAAAGAACTTCCAAGTATACGAGGTTTTAAATCAAAAGTCAAATTCAAGTATGAGACTGAAAAATACATCTGTACAAAAAATAACGTAGATATGTTTAGGAAGAAGTGGGCAATATAAATACTAGAAGTAGTTGAATAACTTAGAATATGTCAGGCCCAAATAGGTGTGACGCTATGTAAACTTGTTCTTAAGAGTGTGTACGTGAGTGAGTTTGAATTAGTTGTGTTATGTTTAGTAAAGTAATAAAGTATTGTAATGAAAGTTGTGTAAATAGTTGTGTGCACTGAAATAAAAAACAAAAAACAAAAAAATCCAGACACAAATTGCATTCGATAGTAGAAATGTCATACGCTATAATCTAAGAATACTTACAAAAATATTTTCAGCCAAAAAGTGGCAACATGTTAGAATTTTCAGCCTCTGCCTGAAAAACAATATTCTTATAAAAAAGAGTGTATTGCCATACTCCAGAAAGAAAGCTTCTCATCATAAAATAATACAGAAACCTCAATTGGGGTTTTCTGTCGCTGTTTTGCATTATAGTATAATTTTTGCCTTCGTAAGAAAATATGATGTCTGTTATCAAAGCATTCGATGGACTCAGTATTTGTTTATTTTAATAAGTGATTACCGTTTTCTTGGTCGTTTCTATTACTGGCAAAACTACCAGCAACATTCAAATTGGAGCACTAATTTTGGCGTTAATTACTCGACCACGCCGTATGATAAACGGCACTCGAAACTCCAAGCAGCTTGAATGTGTATCATGATAAGGGACTTATGAAGGACATTTGTCTCTCATTTTGTATCCAGGAAATTTTGCTATGAATATGCTAACTTATTTTTTATTTGAGATGTGTTCAAGGATCTTCATTGGGTTGTATTCTTACCGATTTAACTCGTCTGAAACTGTCGATATTTGAGACAGCTTTTTAGGTTTCGCAAACACGCAAGTGAAGTTTATGTCCCAGCTGGTTTCATTTTAATCAGTTATAACGGATTCACCATGTTCATGACACAGGTATAAATTTGAACTCTAATTTCTTGTTTACCCGCCAAAACGTCTGGAAGCGGAGTGTTCCTCAATACTACCTTTGCTTACGAAGGAAAGTCCCTTTTGGAAGTGATTTTAAAAAGGACAAACGTGATCCGCGAAGGCTAGAAAAGAAACAAGTTATCAGTTTTCTCATGTTTCAAACGCTTTGTGGTTTGAAGAAACTTCAGTCAGTGGTCATGAAGAAATCATTTTGTGAAATGTTTCTTGATTACTATTCAAGGGAGTCTGAAGTTGAGGACCTCTATTCCACGAACATCGCAAATTGTGTCTTCAACAGTTTTCTGTCCTATACTGCCATCATGTTAAACATTGTAACAATCCACGCGATAAGAAAAACGCCGTCGTTGCCAAAGACTTTAAAAACATTGCTCCTGATTGATGAGAAGTTTATATGAAATAATTCATATATGAACTGCGGTTGTAGATGACAGTGAAGAATGATCATCGCAGTTNAGGGTGTCTGAAGTTGAGGACTACTATTCCACGAACATCGCAAATTGTGTCTTCAACAGTTTTCTGTCCTATACTGCCATCATGTTAAACATTGTAACAATCCACGCGATAAGAAAAACGTCATCGTTGCCAGAGACTTTAAAAACACTGCTCCTGAGTCTTGCTGTTTCTGATGTTGGTGTTGGTTTATTGGTCCAGCCATTTTACACGTCACTCCTGATCAAGTCGTTACATGAAAACAATCCTGGTTGTAACACCTATAAGGCTTTTTACTTCATTGGACATTTATTTTCCTCAGCTTCGTTTTTCGGTGTTGTGGTTGTAAGTGTAGACAGGTTCTTAGCTATTCATCTTCATCTCAGATATCAGGAACTTGTGACTCATAAGCGTGTTGTTGCTGTGGTGATCTTAATATGGCTGTTGAGTATCTTTGCTTCTTTTTCAATGATGTGGGTTCCACGCGAAACGTTCTCACTTATTATAGTAATTATTGGAACTGTTGGTGTCTTTCTTACAACGCTGGTCTACATCAGGATTTATTTAGCTGTAAGACGACACAAAAATCAGATTCAGGCCCTGCAAGTACAACAACAGGCACAGGCTGGCGAAATATCTAATTTTGCCAGTCTAATTAATTCTGCAGTCGGAATCTTTTACGTATATTTGATGTTTTTGATTTGTTATTTGCCTTATTTTATCAGTTTGGCAGCCTTTAAAATTAACGACCCGAATGTCACTCTGAAAAAGTTCTTTCTTTTTTCACTAACTCTGTTATATCTTAATTCGTCTCTGAACCCTGTAATTTACTGCTGGAAAATGAGACACATTCGACACACTGTCATGAACATACTGAGGAACATGGCTTGGTACAGAAGTCGTGCTTCACACGAAACCCTTACATTGTCCGGCCATACTATGCCATGATTCAGGGTCGTCGTTACTGGCAAGCGTTTTCTGTATATAACAACGACTACGGATAATTTAAACTCGGGCTGCAGCAGGACAACCGAAATTCCATTTAAACTGTGTAGTGCAAAAAAATATGCTATTAAAGGATTTATATGACTTATCAGCTGAGTTTAATGCTAGTTGAAAACTGAAAAAGCAAAGGATGCCTGCAAGTTCGTTTCCCTCCGAGGTACAACGCCTAGGACACAATTTTCATATCAGTGAGCAAAACCCAACATGAAGAGTTAGATCAAGAACTTGACAAGGTCCTGAGTATTGAGTCCTACGCCGAGGTCACAAAAAGAAACGGAGATGATAACGGGCTAGCGCTGGACTCCTTTAAATCATGCCATTAAATGGTATTTAAAAGAAAAAAACAAACGTACTCTCCACTGGGCATCGTGCACTCGAGGGAGTTTTACAACTCAAAAGAAATCGATCGCAGAATTACGCAGGATGCACCTTCAAATTCCTTCTCCACAGACAACGAAAAGCCTCAGCCTCAACCACAGAAGAAAGGAAGGCCTTCCATCATTGATTCAGGCGACGAGAATTGAATTTTCGTTCTGACTTAGAACTGCTTGTTTCTTTGTCATGCTCGATTGCTCCACACTGAGTGGAGCGGTGCAATTTGGTCTGAAATCACAAGTATGATTTTAGACCAAAATTGCACTCCACTCAGTTCAATCGCCGCTTTATTACATCCATTTTGAAATCGCGTAATTTTATCGCCTTAAAGTTTAGATTTGTGTGTATTGTTCCAGTTGGCGGTTTGTTGAAAATAGCGGAACCGGAAACGCCTTTACGTCTCATTTAGTATGCGAAACGATGTCATGCGACGAAAACTCATTCGAGCATGAATCAATGATGGAAGGCCTTCCTTTCTTCTGTGGTTGAGGCTGAGGCTTTTCGTTGTCTGTGGAGAAGGAATTTGAAGGTGCATCCTGTGTAATTCTGCGATCGATTTCTTTTGAGTTGTGAAACTCCCTCGAGTGCACGATGCCCAGTGGATAGTACGTTTGTTTTTTTCTTTTAAATACCATTTAATGGCATGATTTTAAAGGAGTCCAGCCCGTTATCACCTCCGTTTCTTTTTGTGACCTCGGCGTAGGACTCAATACTCAGGACCTTGTCAAGTTCTTACGGCGCCATCTGTTTCAAGATATTTTCAAGATGGCGGGACTGCGCCAGTTTCGGAAGACGTTCGTTCATTCACTGTTTTGTGGAGCCGGGCGTAATTTGACTATGTTTATTCACAGCAACAGAGTTGAGCTCTTTTGTTGCTTCGTTTGAAACTACCGGAAACCTGGAAACATTTGCCTTCTTGAGATGGCTCTGAATTTGCTGGTGGGTGGTTTTCATTTGTTTATGTTTCGCTGGACTCGGTATTACACGGATCTTGAGCAGATGTTGAAGAAAAATCGCCAAAATATTCTTCAAAATGAAAACTGAAAGATAGAAACTTCCATTAAAGTAGGTCTTCAGCCTGAAGGAGCTTATAATCGTCATTCAGAAACTGTAATTAATTAAATTCGGCAACTGTTTTGGAAAAAAACAACGATAACAACAAAGCTTTGGCAGTAGTAGTTGCAAAATTCTCCACACAATGGCTTTTTGCCTTTCATTTTCCTGAAATTTTATTGATTACTTTAAACTAACCTCGAAATCTGATTGGTTGTTTTGTTTTACTCTCCCATTCTAATTAGCTGAGAAAAAGATGCGATTTAGAGCAAAAAAAAGTGCGATTCGTGAATAAATCGCACCACTGAGAGCCAATCAGATGGCAAGAATAACCAGTGATTTCAAAATGGATTTAATAAAGGCATTTATTATACACCCAACACAATATCTGATTGGCCAATGACAAATGCATAACAATGTTATAGAGTGCAATACGGAAGTGGCCATGGAAACACCGGGGAAGTGCCAAATTTGAACACCAAAGAGAAAAAAAACAGTTTGCTTTGTTAATCCAAAAACGTTGAGCAACTTAAAGAAACTGCGAAAAACAAAAATTCGTTGATACCTGCACGACCTGGTTGAATGTCTGTGTTCTGTCAGTCTCGTGTTAAGGTACAACGGTATACACTACAAACAGTTGCATGGAACAGCCACGGGTCGCCTGTTTCTGTTGTTGTCGCAGAAATTGTGATGCAACACATGGAGGAACGCGCCCTTGCAACTTGCCGACAAACGATACCGCTTTGGTTACGCTACGTTGACGACACATTTACCGCCGTTCACAAAGACGAAATTGACGCTTTCCACGACCACCTCAACGAACAGAACGCCGACATCCAGTTTACCAAAGAAATCGAAGAAAATGGAAAACTTCCTTTTCCAGACTTTTTGATAAGCCGCGACAACAACAAACTGCGAACGATAGTGTACAGAAAATCGACACTGAAGACTGACTGAACACAAACGAGCCACGAGAAATGGTGACGCCAAGAGCCACATTGCTGTACATCATCAATTGACAAACCACAAAATTGACTGGGACTCTGCTCAATGCTTAACCTACAGTACAAACTATTTTCAACGACTGACTCTCGAAAGCTGGTACACTAACCTAGAACAAACGCCTCTCAACAGATGTCAACAACTACCGGCGCCTTGCAAACGACTTATCCACGACGGAAACGAAACCGACAAACGGACTTCCAACAGACCGACTTAATTTGACTAACAATAGACGGACCTCAAACCGACCAATTTTACGAACAATAGACGGGTCGAAACCGACCAATGACTGATGACAAACTTTACTCGAGTCTTTCAGCTAATACCATCATGGCCAAACTGACCAATCACTTTCAACGGACCAGACTTATAACATCATCGACTGGCAAACACTATTCACTTGACTCTGAAGATGACTTCCCATCAGGGTGTCGAAACATCAGTCACCAACAGCAGTTCTTTTCAGAACTACCCTCAACCGGACGATCACACTATACGAACTACTGATACCCCTGAGTTCAAACCATTAACTATGGTAGAGCACGACCTTTTTTTTCACGGGTAAACCCGCCGTTTGTACGCCTTCACCTATGAGCATCACGTGGTACAAGTACGTAAACCATGCCCTCCCCTTCCCCCCAGTCTATCAGAGCGCTTTATTTCGTTAGACGAGCCTTTTGATTGGTTAATAAAACTCATTCAACTTGAACTGAGCAATAGGAGCAAAGTGTTAATTAAAGTCTTGGTTTGTCAGTCCCTAACGAGTAGATGGTCCTTTTGAACAAAAAGCGCGAATAATTTCTTGACAACCACCTGGAATTCACTTGAACAGTGTATTATTGCTGGCGCTCTCGATGTTTTCAGTCTCGCTCGCAACAAGGCGGTAATATTATATGCTCACCGACAACTCTTTCATGAAGTCTGAAATTTCCAAATTCACGACAGCCTTTTAGGTTTTTACAAATACGCGCCCTCTTTAGAATAAACCTGACACTCACGCCAGTTACGTTTACTTCTTAAGTTTATTCTTATCAGTTTTAAAAAAGAACTGCATTTAAAAAATTGTTTATCATTCCATGCATTTTTTCCTTTCTTTTCATTGGTCGAGAGCCCACCACGTGACCCGCAAATAACTGCCTACAAATAATAATGTTCTGCTCACTCTCTAAATGTGTTTAATTTTCTGCTCATTCGTAATTGTAATCACGCTCTTGTGTGAAAAATGGGAGATCGCTTCCCTGGGCTGTCAGATAGTGATTAAAATGTGAAAACAAACTTGGCGCTTGACTGATAAAACAATTATTGAACGCGGTTATCGAAAAATATCATGATTTATCTGTCTCGCAGATCAAGGATTGATCTGTGAGAAAGATAAATCATGATATGTTTGATAGCATTTCCTCGGTTTTCGGCTTCGGCAAATAACCGCTCTGCTCGGCGCTAACAAATCAAGATATTTTGCTCAACCTCGTCCAATAATTGTTAAATGTTTCATACTAATAAAAACCTTAAATGTCTGGGAGAGCAGTTCTGAAATACTTTAATTCTTTTTTATGCAGAACATCATACCTTCAGCATAAAAAGATGTTAATTAATTCCAGCCAGATGATCTGTTTTTAATATCAATTTTTGCGGTTCTCATCAAGTCTTGTGTTTTTAGTTAATGACAAGCAGATGGTTTTACCAATCTGTTCTGCTTTTTAAAAACACTTTTAAAAACGTTTTCGCGGTTTTTGAGCAAAGAACACGACTTTTCCTCACGGCGAACGCACATTTGAAGAGCAACTCATGGAAAATTTATCCCCTCACCAATGACCTTCACTAATTCACCGGTCGTCTTCTTAAGAAAGGAAACTGTTTTCTGGAACATGTTGCAAGACGCCGAGTGCCTTAAATCGATATCATGAAGAAATCATCTTGTGAAGTATTTGCGCTGTACTTTAATTCATCAATCTCCCAGGGTGAAGACTTCGATTCGACGTCCATCGTAAATTGTGTCTTCAACAGTTTTCTGTGCTATACCTTCATCATGTTAAACATTGTAACAATCCACGCGATAAGAAAAACATCGTCGTTGCCAAAGACTTTATAAACATTGCTCCTTAGTCTTGCTGTCTCTGACGTTGGCGTTGGTTTTTTAGTCCAACCATTTTACATCTCCCTTCTCGTCAAGGGATTACAACAAAACATTGCTGCCTGTAACACGTATAAGGCTTTTGACGTGATGGTGGTTTTGTTTTCCACGGCTTCCTTCTGTGGTGTCGTAGCCATAAGTGTAGACAGGTCCTTAGCTATTCATCTTCATCTCAGATACCAGGAACTTGTGACTCACAAGCGTGTTGTTGCTGTGGTGATCTCAATATGGGTGTTAAGTGCGTTTTGGTCTTCGATGGCGTTGTGGGTACCGAACGATATTCACTCGCTTTTTGTATCCATTGGTACTGTCATTGGTCTTCTTGTTACAACACTGATTTACATCAGGATTTATTTAGCTGTGAGACGCCACAAGAATCAGATACAGGCCCTGCAAGTACAGAATGCAGCCCAAACTAGCGAAATGGCAAATTTTGCCAGTCTCATTAAATCTGCAATCGGTACGTTTTACGTCTTTCTCGTTTTTTTGGTTTGTTATTTGCCAATCTTTATCTGTTTGGCTGCACTTGCAACCTTGGGCCCGAATATCACTTTGAATAGATCATTGCTTTTTTCTTGTACTCTCGTATTTCTTAATTC